TGTCATCTAATACTCGTTTTATGAAATATGATGTCTGTAAAAAAATCAGTGAAAATTCGTAAAAAGAGGGCCAGAGACAACTCCTAAAGCGTAATAGCATTAAATAAGTTTCTATCAGCAAATCACAACCGGCTAATTTCAAAACTTGTAATTTCAAAAAATGTAAACAAAGAAGAGAATGGTAAAAACATTTGTACGAGAAAGAGAAAAAATAACAAAAGCCTGGTTAGCAACTTATTGCATAACAAAAAGTTGCTTTCTCCCCGACGAATTCATCGCATTAGTGATTGCCGTTTTCCAGTCTTCAAGTTTTACTTTGTCGAATTTTGGTGGACGAAGTTTTCCATGTTTTATTAAGTCTTGCAGTTCCTCAAACATTGCTTCGCGATCCTGAAAATAAGTGAGCACAAATCAGGAAATAATCAGATATGAAAATTTCAATGGAATAAACACAAAAGGTATGAAAATTGGGATGTAAAGCAACGAACCTTTTTCATACCCCGAGTTGCGTACCACTGAGAAATCCAAAAACCGACCAATTTAATATCTTTAAATATAAATGGTGCAGTTGGAACCTAAACTAATTAATTTTCGTTTGGAAAAATCAGAAGATTACGATGCATATTTCAATAATTTTACTTCAATTATTGGTCTAAATAAGTGCAGAACTGTAAAAAATCTTGCCTCGATAGGCTTCCTGCTCATTCCACCATAAGTAACCATTACTCCCTTACTGGAAAGGCATGTTGATAACATCATTGCACTCCGACCACCGACACAGTTCAGCGCCAACTGAGCATTTTTAGCCTAAAAGTTCAAATAAGAAATACTTTCTTATCAAATCAATTTATAAATCATATTTTCCTGTCGATTTATTTGAGGAATGACAGTATCGAAGAATAAAATATGAATTAAGAAACAAGAAATGTAAATTCATGAAATACAAAATACAGGCTAACTTGTAGGCGCAAGGGATTAGAGACAGCCGATATTAGTACTGAATAATCTAACATATCTCAAAGCATCGCCGTTGCCGTTAAATCAAAAAGATCTTATATTTTGTAAAAATGCCACAAGATATATTATAATTTAATATTAAGATGCAGTGTTTCCAGTCATATTCATTATAAACCAACAATGTAAACTAATCAAAATGCTCAATGCGATTAAACTTCACTGGAAATGAATTAGTTTTTATACAATTATCTTTTGATTTCAATCGGATAATTAATATAGAAATATTTGTTATTAAAATCTTAAAAGATTTCATTTTGTCTAGAACTATTGTCGCAAATATAATTTTGTATTTCCATAGCGATTCCATTTATGGTGTTAAAATAATGGGAAGAAACTTACTCTATTTTTTGATTCTTTCTTCATTTCTTCTTCTGTAAACACGTCATCAGCACCAATTTCTTTTAATTCTCGAACAAGTAAATCAAAGTTTTCACGATTACGTACAACATTCACGGTTCGAATATTCCACAATTTGCACAACTGAACTATAACACAAGTAAAAAGGGTTCACATAAAACATGATAACATTTTGAGATTTATAATGAAATGCTTTTTTTGAGATTATAAATCATAAGATCCTTTTTTTTACAGATTATCCCCTTGCCAGAATGAGAATTTTACCTGTATTACGCAACGACCAACACTCGAATTTGCACCATTTTGCACAACCAAATCACCGGCTTTTAAATCCACAAAATCCTTCAACATTCTGTAAGCTGTTGGGGGATTGACCTATAAATCAACATATTTTCTTTTAGATGGACAAAAAAATCGACATTGCTTAATCCAACAGGACGTAATAATATTTATCATACATGTCCGTATACAAAAAAGTACTGAAAAGTTACAACTACTAGATCAAAAATATTTCCTTTAAAGATTCCAATCGAAACAAAATCTAAACGATCTCACATACCTTACAAGAAAAGAGAAACAACCTGAAATGTAGCCGCCGAATCAAAGGGCAAATCATTAGCGATTTTAAAAAGATCTTTTTCGCAGTGGTTCCCGAATGTTCTCCAACAACCAGCAGCCGAAACACCGGGTACAACCCAATCACCAGTACGTAAAGTCGTCACGTCACTTCCAACCTACTGTGAACAACCGTCATCGAAAAGATAAAAATCACAAACATACGTCAACTTTCATGAATTTTGTGAAATGTCATCATAAAACCATGAAAATTATGAATATGAGCAAGAGAGCAAAGAAAACAAGTGTATTGTTCGAGAAAAACGCGTTGTTTTATGCTTAAAATCTATGTTTCAGCATCATTACTTCTGTAAAAAAATGAAACGGTCACCTCTTCAACCTCGCCAAATCCTTCCATTCCACCAACAGCAGGTAATGGTGGTTTTCTTGGATAAACTCCTTGCAGCTGATTTATATCCGCTGGATTGATAGGTGCACCCATCCAACGTACTCGTACTTCATCAGTACCAATTTCCCCCACTTCTTTCGTTACTAAATTCAGTACCTGCAAACAAAATTAGGATTTAGTTCTTGAAAATAAAAATTTTTCTCTATAATATAGCTTTTGCACTCACTCGAAATGATAAAATTTTTTTTTTCAGAAATAGTTTTTTTGGCGAGCCTACTATTGCGGATCAAACATCATCAAGAAATGGCAGTAAACATTTCCCGACAATATAATAACCAAATTCATTGCTTACACTATGTAGAGTGCCAATAATTTCATCAGTCTGAACTTTTCAGGAAAAGGAATAATTGGAAAACAAAAAAATATAACGCAAAAGAATTCTTACATCTGGGGGGTACCCATATTTTTCATACATTAGTTGTTTTGATGAAAGACATCGCTGTGATTGTTTTCGGCATAATCGAGCACCCATTAATAACATTGATGACCAAAACATTTCGATTTTGAAGTTGCACTCCTTGCAAAACTGCAAAATGTTAGAAATATTAATTCTAAATTCTAATTATGTTTCTCTCTCATACTCTGACGCGCTGGTGTGACAAATTTTCGAATATTGGATTCAGAACTATTAAAGGGTCGATTTCTAAAAAGATCCAACAATGAAGCCAAATTATTGGATTTGAAATTATGCAACAAATAATTTCTAATTTCTAGCAACCAAGCTTTGTTGGCTTCTAACGTCTATTTCAAAACAACCTCGACAATAGCAGAGTCTACGAACAAGCAAAATGCATAAGAAAAAACCAATTCTCGAGAAGTACAAGAATGTTGTGATGAATGATGATTGATACATGCAACATAGTATCTAACGATATTCTCATACAATACTCTCAATTATCTAACGAATTTTCAAATAATCGCTCTAGCTTGGTACATCAGAGGAAATACAAACAAACTCTCTCCCCTCTACCTCTGCATTTCTCATAATACTTATCAATCTCTGAAACCTCTTCGTTGATAGAGTTATTTCCATCCATACGAGTAAATTCTCCCTACAACAATTACGCTCCGTGCTCGATATAAAAAAATGTAACCGTAAGAAATACACAAATATAACGGACCGTTCTATTCCGGCTGTATAATTTCAGGACAGGAATCAGTGTGATCGAATAAAGTTCCTACTGGAAGAGATGACGCTTCATGTGGCGACATCCGGTTGGAGTCCATCATTTTATTCCCGCGATATCATAGAAAGAGGCAAATTGAAGCCTTCATTCATTGTCCGGTCATGCGGTAATATTGAAGAATATTAGTTTCTGATAAATTACTCAAAATAATATAATCAAGTGTGAGACGAACAATCAATATCACCATATGTGAGTGTCAATTAATCTTATTATCGATTATCAGTTACTAGTTAAAATAATACAATATAAGTTATATCTAATAGAAAAAGGAAGGAATGTTTTGTGAATAATTAAGTATTGCATATAACTTGCAAAATCGTTAAAGAGAATTACTTGATGTACGAGCGGTTCAATGTGACTTCCATGTTCTGGAAATTATCATTTATCACATCATTATCATTCATTAAGTTAACCTTGATTTACTTTGATCTTATTTATTCATGTTCGTTTCATTTTATCTATCCAAACAAAACTTTAAATGGAATTTCTGATTTTGTTAGTAAAATTCAAATTACTCAGAAAAATTTTGCATATATGAGGAAGCGTGATGGTAAAATTCCATGTGGAAAGATTTTGATCTCTTTTGAGATATCATTCTTAAAATTTTCATTGTTTTTAAAAATTAGATTCTGGGACATTTTTATTTAGGCGGTTTATTCCTTTGATGCTTAAATTATTTGCTATTATTATTCTTATTGAGTCAGACATCTGGTTTATTTAACTTCACTTTTACAGCAAGGAAGCAAATTAATTGCCTGAAATGCGAATTCGAAAATGATTAGTAAGTAATTTCTTAAAATGTCTTTGGTTTTCCATCTTTTTTGTTAATTATAGGTGGATAAATTTTTTGGATATTAATATGTTTCCTTATCAAGAAAGTCTGCTAGCAGGTGAACTGAGTCTTATTTCTCGCATAACTAATTCGAAATTTAAATTCTATAGAAATAACATTTGCTTTAAGTTAATAATTATCTTATTGTTCTATTGTTTTCAATACTTAGTAATTGATTATCTCTACACTTGATTAATTCAACTCTTCGAAGATTCTAAATTAATTCTGTTTCATCGTTACCGGACTTTGTTGATGTCAATGCTTTTGGAATTTGATGGTTGGACGAAGAAGAAGTGTATTATGCTTTTGTCATGAATATGTTCTTGATGGATACTTCGATACTGTATTCAAGTAAGAAATGGATGACCTTTGTAAATAAGATATAATATTGACACTATGTTTTCAATGCGCATTTGTCTCTGGCATTTGAGTTTTGATTTCTGCTACTCATGAAATTTCCCAACTATATTATTCATTGTTGTCGTTTTGAAAGAATGACTCAACACATTTGGATATTTTCGGCAATTCTTTCATGCGACTATTTTTGAATGATTCCGGATGCTCAATTTATATAAATGATTTCAGCATTTTCGCAAACAACTTCAATAATTTACCATTTCCTTCCTTTGGTCATTTTAAGAATTACTGAATATATTTTGATTACTCAAACTCTTTGCTATGTAAGATTTAAAATAGTCTATATGAATAACAAAGATTGATTCGTTCCTGGTGCTCAATGGAAGAGAATAAATAGTCTGGAATTTCATTGGTGTGTTTAATTCAATTTGATTTTACGATATCGTAACGCTATTACTATTTTGATTAGATAAATAATCTACCCTGTGCGAAATCATCAATATGCGACTAATCGTGTTATTCACAGTACTGCAAAATTTTTTCCTAAGTTTTAGTTAAAAGCAAAGATGAAATCTGAAAGTTATAAAAATTTGTAGAAAACTTTGTGAGCAACGAATATTTTCCAACCATTATCGCTTCACTTAATGTCGAAATATCTAACATTTACTGCGTACATTACGTGCAAAATACGTGTAAAGTTAATTTAAATAGGGCGCATTTTTGTCCTACAAACAGTTACTGACCAGTGTAAACGAATTTTATTACTTTCAAATACAAAATTCAAAATAGCGTAATACACAGTGAAGAAAAGATAAGTTAGCCAACAGCTATAAAAGATGAGCATCATAATAATGTATTACACATAATCTATTAAGATGGAAATCATTCAGGAGTTAGATTCCTAAATCTTCATTTGCAGAATATAGCAATTTCATGGAATATCTCTTAAAAAAGTATAATTTAATAGATAAGTAACAAGACAGCGAATTTCCTATTCGCATCAATAGCAAGTAGTTAGTGATTGCAAAAGATATAATTCAATTTTAAAATTCTAATATGAATAAAAAGAAATTCCAGGCGAATTGCTTGAAAATTTTGCTAGCAAAAGAATTGCTAGAAAATTTTTTTAAATTATCACAGTATGCTCGACATGATTTGAAAATAATAATAATAATGTAATAATAAAGATAATAATGATAATGTATACAAGATGTAAACATAAAATGGGAAGATACGAGGAATGTGAACTGAAATCATTTCATGCTACATGTTATTATAAACCCATGTAAATTTAGCTATCAAATTATTAGCTTTAGTTATTTCAAAATTGTTATTATTGAAATGAAGTGTCATATGCCCAATTTTAGTTGGAACTGAGAGGAGGATTCAAATACAGTAAAATATGGGGTAATATGGAACGCGATAGGTTGCAAAATGTGCACAAACTTTTGTAATTGCATGTTGTGCACGTTCATGGATGAAATGTATGTAGTAGTAATAATAAATGAACTTCTATGTTGCGTTTTAAAAAAAGAGAATACTATTGAAATTTTAAAATATTCGTGCTTTAATCTTTCACATTGAAATAATATTATAAAATAATTAATTTGTACATTTGATATTGTTTTATAAATCGAAATGCAAGACAGCTATTAATGAAAATTTGTAAAACTTACTTTAAAAAAATGCATAAAAACTATGGCTGCAAATATTAATTTTTCATATGATAATGTAACAAAAATAAATCTCAAAGATTATAAATAAATTCTGCGCTCTACCAAAAAACACCCAAATAAAATGCACGTTAAATAATGACGAAAAAAGATGGGTGGAAGTTTTTGCAACAAATCTTCGTTTTCAGATTTTAAATGAAATGATTATTTTCTCAAATTGGACAGCTTTATTTTAATGAATGCAGGAAAAATTACAGAAAAAATCCAGTTAGAAAATAAAACTAAAGATTTAGGAAGAAATCGTAAAATTGAAATGACATCATTTTATTAAAATTCGCAAATTTTAAATTCATTTCTTTGAAATTTATCTTGGTAACAAAAATAAAGCAGCAGAAAAATGGCCATTGTATATTATGACGAGAAATGAATATCCGTACAAACGTGTAAGCAACGCTGTAACCCAACCATAAGCGTCCATTTAAAAAGTTAGGCAGAATTGATGTGTACTTCGGGTTCCGGTTCTTTAGTGAATACAACTTTTCGAGGCTCATTGACTGATCCATCCGGATTGGCACTGTTACTATCCTTCATATATCGTTGTTTACGGCTTATTACACTTTTTACACTGTGTGGTCCAAGCCTTAGATTATGTTTTGAGGCAAGCTGAAATATTTAAACAGTTGCAGTAAATATCAAGCGGTTAATATCATTAAAAATATTTTAATTTCCATTTAAAAACCAAATATAATCTGGTATCAATATGATATTCAACACACTTCCAAAATTCCACACATATAGGGTAAAAATAGTTGGAAGAAATACCAAACAAATGAGAAAATAAATAAAACTTTGGAAAAATCTTCTAATCCAAAAATAAAAATTTTAATTCAAACTAACTTCAAAAAAAACAATTCTTATTAATCAGTAATTAGATTTAGTCCATCTACTTATATTTTACAATCCCCACATATACACAACTCCGCCAAAACTAAAACTAACTAACATTAATCATGAAATTACGACAAAAATAATTCCAAAAAACATAAAACAACTAAAATCATAATAATAATCAAAAAATTACAATTTAAAAAATCTAAGCCAAATAAAAAAATAAAAAACAAATAAAAGAAAATTAAAAAAAGGTTATTGTTGCAATGAAAGCTAACAGCAGACATATTACAAAGAGGAATTAACGAAGGAAAAAAATCTCTTTTAAAAAAAATCTAATAAAGCTAGGAATTGCAGAAATTTTTCTATCATTTCCTGTTTGAATTTTTGAAATTTTAGCTAAATTATTAAATGATTTTACTATCTCAATTACTGACATGCTTGATAGATATTATTCATAATTTATGATAAATGTAACAAATCTCGATTGAAAAAATAATCAATTAAAAGTTACGAACAGCAAGCATAATTTATTGATGTCTTTATCACTATGGTGACTAAAATATTCAAAGTGTGGTTAACTTACACGTTCGAAAACGGTTGGTTCATCGTATTTTGAAATGAAGAAGAAATTGAGGATGAAGAATGAAATTAATAGTATGGTGATAGCGAATAGCGATATCACAGCTACTGGTCCAAAATAATCGTAAAACTGGAACTCTTGTTTTAAAGATACCATCTGAAATTAAATTTAGTAAAAAAATTGAAGAAATATTTTGTTAAATAGATATTTGATTAATTATTGCCAAATAGTTTGATATGATTAGGGTTGGATGGATTCACATGAGTAATCTAGATATTAGTTAAAAATCAATCTTGCAAGAGGAAATCAAAAATGTGATATTAGTTATTCAAAGTGTGAAATTGAACGCCATATTTTAAAATTCATGCCTTAAATTGAGAATTTCGAAGTTTCTTGACATATAATTAGGAAAAATTGGAGATGGCTGTTATAGATTTGAGATGATAAATAAACTGCCCATTTTTAACTTATGCTAAAATTTATCATTAGGTTCTTCGTTCTAGAAGTTTAAATTCACTACCAATCAGAAATGACGTTTCGATTAAATCATCAAACAGCTGATATGATAAACGTTAAAAAAGACCGACTATAAATCATTCATAGCAATTAAAAAATTGTTATTCATATTATTTTGCAAACAAAATCTTTCAAATTAATTAAAAAGTTAAGACTAAAGATAGGAATCTTCTCTAACTTCTTAGCAATAAACTATTATTATCATCAGAAGTTCATCTGAACTAAAATCGATGAATGTACAATGGGAATGACCTATATAATAAACAGAAATATATATGTCTATATCTTCATTCATTAATTTCTTCCTCTCTCTCTCTCTCCCATTCTTCCAACTTACAAAACATTCTTTAATCATTGATCCATATAAGTTTTATATTTAAACTAGGAGTTTCTACAAGTCCTATCAGCTAATTGTATTATTTTGTATCTCTTCAAATAAATATTATGAAGTCACATTTATATATTTTATATATTAAAATTTAATTTAATTATTAAACATAATTTAAAGTCATATTTAATATCATTCAAAGAATAGCACATATTTTGAAGAGAAAACTAAATTTACACATTTGAATTAACAGAATGCATCTTTTCTTCTCAAAACTTGAGTATGTTTACGTGGAGCATATAGGACTAGAAAATTAAAAAGAGAAGAAAGAGAGGGAGAGAAAAAGAGAAGAGAGAAGGAAGGCGCTTTAATCAAGAAGATGAACTACGAAACATAAACATTTTCAGTTCTTAAAAAGATGCATTATCATATATTAAATATCGAATACCTTTTAAATTGCGATAATGAACAAAAAATGGAAGGGATACAATCTGAGTAATTGGAAGTTTGAGAAATAATAAGGTTTCAAATTTTGAAATAGAACACAATCAGTTTCAATTGATTCATACAAGTTATTTCAATTGTTTATTAATTAATTAAGTAAACTGAAAGGATTGAATATTATATGTAAAATAAGCAATAAACCAATAAATAAATTAAAGTATAAAAACAGCGAAAAAGATTCGTCGTGCTGTTTGGGATGAAAAAGAGAAATGTTAGAACCTCATTGCATCATTTTTACAGCAAATGAAACTACAATGAATTCTTCGTTAAGGAAGATTACTTTAACTAAATCTAAAAATATAAGCTAAGAAGTATTTGAGCATAGTAATTTGCTAACTGCTCTATAATTTAATTTTACTCTAACAATAATTGCTTCGCAATAATTTGATGAAAATATGCACAAAAATGAATTCATTTTAATCAATTTTGTTATTTACTGCATCTGGTTGTTCAATCATTAAATATTTATCGAATTATTAAGCCATTTATTCATTTATTTACTCTAACACTCATAAATTTCTGTATTTAGAGGGATTTCATTTTTTGCACAAAAAGAGAAATTCAAAAATATTTCTTTTTTTCCCATTCGCTTCCTTTTTCCTGTATTTCAACAATATTTGGATGATCTTTCATATCAGTCATACATCAAAGATGAGCGAATCTAAATTTTAACCAATCCAATCAACACAGAAACTTTTCCTCCTTCTCTCTCTTTCTTTAGTTTAGTTTCTTGAGAATTTTGATGGATTAGTGAAATAGATAAAATTAGTCGCAAAAATATGAAAAGAAACGACGAAGCATCATTATCATAACAACTTTATTATCGGGATTTTGCCATATTTAAATGAAAGAAAAGTTTAAGAGATGTGACGAGAAAAACTACGAGAAAGGGAATGAAAGAGAAAGAGAAAGGAAGATAGCATTAATGGGACTTATTTGATGGAATGGGGAGAAGAAATAGGCTAACAATTTAGGAAATGGCTAAGCTTCTTTCTCCTCACCTCTTCGTTTTCTAATATTCGCAAAGATCTGCCGAAATGAAAAGATTAAAGAATGTGAACTTTTGGCTTGCTTTAAACACATAGCTTTAAGGCTGCTTGCATGCAGTTAAAGAAAATTTTCTTGAATTCATAAAATAGGAAAATAAGAATAACCTGATGAATCAAATTTAATTTCAATTTAAAATTAATTTCATAAAATTTACATTTGTACTTTCAAGAGTGCAATTTAAGATGGATATATAGTCCTCCCCTTAAGATGCATTATATATCAAGGTATGCTGTTGTAAGATAATTCAGCTTTTTAATTTCAAAATTCTATGAACTTGACGCTGCTCATTCAAGCATATTTTAAAATGGTAGAAAATGAACGTTGTTCGTACAATATGAAATGCGCCAGTAATCGATTGAACAATTTTTTTTAGATATTTGTGGTCATGGGAATATGAATGAATAGCTTTTAATGACAAAATTTTAAAAATTAATTACATTCAAAAAAAATTATGACATGCTCAGAATTAAAATTGTTCTGTTAATACTTGACAGAAATCAATGTACAATTGCCTATGCGCCATCATAAATGATTCTGCACATCTGGAAATGTTACTTTGACAGTGCCTATTCATTCTTACAAGTATGAAATTAAAACGTCATTGTATGTCTTGAAATTGTTTGCCATCACAGTACAGAGTAAAAAATATTTAAAAAACGAATTAGTGTTTTAAATTAAAGTAATATAAATACGTATGTTTTGTCAACAGAAATTAACGACAAATAAGCCTAAAAAAATAATAGTGCGTCGTTGCAGAATGTGTCATAAAAATCTTTTCTTTTTTCCTTCAAATTTTCACCACAAAGTTTGCAAAAAATGATTCAATTTTGCAAAATAAAAAATTAAAAAAGATCTTTGTCATTTACGATTAATTTCAAAAATTTAAGTAAATTCAAATGCTATGATTTCAATCAAAATGCAACGTTATTACAAGTTAGCAATTTTAGCAAAGCACAGCAAATGCCGGAAGCAAATGAGAAATGCTTTTGTGTTTCAATCAAAACACAAAAAGCATTCACTGGAAAAAAATTGCGTCGAAAAAAAAATATTTGATGACGATTATTGAAATGCATCATAACGTTCTATTCGACTATGATTAACTGATTAAAATTTAATTTAACTGATAAAAAAGCAAAAAAGTTAACATTCGTATGAAATTTTCAAACTGAAATGGTTCATAATAATCCCGCCATTCCATAGCTTTTTTCCATTTCTGTGGTTTGAGTGACCAGCATGAAAAAAAATCTACTCCACTGTCCATTTGACCGACAAATTCATTCTTTCTCTGAATTTTTTAATTTCAGTTTCATGCTCTATAATTTTTGTTATTACTTTCAATTCGGATTTATAGAAATTTTATAAATTCTTCTAATTTATTCATTGGTGAGGGGATGAGTGAAGAATTTGAAATAAAATACAGATGTTTTTTAAATCACTTTTTGCATCATTTGGACAGCTTTTGGTGAGGAAAAAATTATAAAAATTTCAAATGAAAGTTGACGAAATTCAAAAATTTCATTTTTTGAAAATCTTGCTCATCAATAATTCTACATATATATGAAAATAATTCTATGCTAGGTAAAGATAGGTGTATAAATACTAGCCTATTTCTGAGTATTGTCTTATTTTTGATTTCTTTACTGATAAATTTGTCGTTTTTGACTAACATTTCAAATCTATAATTTTTTTTGAAATTTGATAAAGAATATATTTAATAACACAATTCATACTACACAATTTATTAAGGAAGTAATTGAAGTAGTTTGAAATGAATTATTAGTTTGATGTAATTTTTCAATAATTCAAATATGAGCACCAATTATGAAATAAGCATTAAAGCGATAGTAGCAATTGAACTTGATATATTTTGTGGGAACAGATAACTTAATAGAGGCAGATTGAGGGAGAAAAAAAATGGATGCAATCCATGGCAACGAATGAAATAACTAGCTTATTTTATATAAGCTGTTTATGTTTGTCTTGAAAACAATGTAATAATCAACAAAGTATAATTTCAACATCATTATTCCTTCTTCCTTTACCATTCACCTCAGAAGAGATCAAAGAAAGTTGATAATAAAAGATGGTTAACATTTTAATCTTATCAAATAATCATCTTATCAATCGATCGTTTGAAGTATTAATTGCTATCCCAGATATTTATACGTAGATAGATATAAATATGGGCGACAATTAAACTCATAACTAGGCATCTGTTTATTGATTCTAAATTCCATCAAGTTTATCATTTTCTTTCCAACAACTATTTTTGCATTTATCAGACGTGGCTTCCATTTTTAAGCCTTCGAAAATTCCTTTGACATTTTTTTAATTCAAAAAAGAAGAGAGAAAAACTTGAATCTTAAGCCTCCTTGAGTTCGTCTATTTCTTATAATCCAACACTTTGCTATCTCTTTTCAAAAGGAAAATTGTAAATGTAATGAAATAGAAATATCCAACTAATTATCCATAAAGGAATGTGTTTGCCATAATTTGCATATATAATTCAAAAATAATAATAAAAATGCATAGAATTGCTTAAATCAGACATAATCATATCAATGTAAGAAAAGTTCGTATTTTATGAAATATTTATTATAAAGTACTTTGCCTTTTCTAAAATAAAGGAAAAAGTCTCGATAACATCGCATCCATTTATGCTTGCATCTTTTGAATTGGTTGTAATTTTTTTGATCAGATTTAATGAAATGAAAATCTGATTTGCACAAACTTTATTATCTGTAAATTCGACATTCATTTTCAATATATCTTTCGAGTTATATCATTTGTACATAGAATAGATGTCAAGAAGTTAACACCATTAAAAAAAGCGAAAAGAGTGATAAGAAAAGTGAAAAGATGGCTGATATTGAGATGATGTCATAATAAGATGAAGAGATAGCGATCAACATGATGTCATTTATCAGCTGCGTATTTTACAGTATATCAAAAATCTTACAGAACACCAAAAAAATTTCATCGTGTAAATTATCAGAATTAAATTTTAAATGTACGAATAAAATATTGCTCTTTAATTTATGCTCGATGATCCTACCAGAAGTGTCGTTTGTTTATTTTAGAAATTTTGTGGTAGGAAATATTTTTAAATTAGATGCGAAGAAAAAATGAAAACGGATAAGTTTATAAGAATTCACTGATTTGTATTTCGATATGAAATTTCAAATTTAGGTCAAACGAAATACGACTGCATTAATACATAAAACAACACACTATTTAAAAAAAATTACACTTTAAAATCATCGTTTCAGTCAACGATTTATTTAAAAAAAGATTAATCACGAATTGAAGTCAATCATCATATGAATCATCATGTCCACAATTCAAAAAAATTTATATCTCATTTAATTTCTTTTTCGCTTTCCAGCTACAGGAAAAAAAACTGGCATTTAGAAGTAATGCTTCGTGCAATCTTCTTAGGAATGTAACATCATTGTGGAATATATTATCAAGATCGATGTAAATATAAATATGGTAAGACGTTTTACAACGTTTCATCATATTTATATTTACGTACGTGAGAATTATGCATATCAAAAGCTTTTCCCATGAAGGTTTTTTCTCTTGTTCGTTTTTTCTTGGTTAAATTGATTTGGTGAAAGTAAATTTGTAATGAATGAATATTCATATATATGATAACTTGATGTTGACAAACGACAGTATTTTTATTTATAAATCACTTAATGCGATATTTAAATATTATCATCTGATTAGACTGATAGGAATTAAGTCAATATACAAAGCAATTTTCTTTCTGACAAGTATTTTATTATATCTCAACAACGTCTAACCTTTTTTGCGCCCAAAATAATAATAAATTACTTTAAAGCAAATTTGCAAAAAAATGAAAAAATTTTTTATTCAAATATCTTAGAGCAGTAATTCGTAATACTTTTTGTTATAGAAAAAATTTTAAGGAAGTAACTGATGTGAAAGTATAAAGCTGTTTTTCCTTTTTTGTTTGAAAGGATTATTCGCTTGAGTATGTCATTTTTATGTTTAAAAACAAAAATAGTTTAAAAATAGCAATATATACGACTTTTAGTAGAGAAAAATAAATTTAAAAAAAACTATATGTAAATGAAAAATAGATTTAAAAAGTGTTTTGAAGAACGATGTTAAACTAAGCGAGACTAAATTGCGTTTTTTTTTTTTGTAATGTATACAACCGATAGTATATGGTACTTCAGATTTCGAAGCGAATAACTAAAAAGTTTATAAACATATTTATCGTTGAACTCTAGAGAAGAAATTTTTGAGTGTTATCGGTTTGAATAACTAAAAAGTTTATAAAAATATTTATCGTTAAACTCTAGAGGAGAAATTTTTGAGTGTTATCGATTTGAATTAAAAATCAAAAATTGACCAATTTAAAATTTTGTTATAATCATTTACTGAAAGTGTTAAAATCAATATTTATTGCAGTTAAAAAAAGAAGAAAAACTGATATAAAAATTGCACATCAATTGAAGCATTTTAGAAAAACCTTGGTTGGAAAATTTCCCATAGCAATTACAAAGCTTATATTACTATCAATTTTACACGAAGAAAAAATGGACAGAATTCTTGATATTCTTTGGACTTCATTCTAGAAAAAATTACTAATAAAGTTCAGTTTGGAATTTTAAAAAGATTGAAAACTGATTTGAATTGCAAAAAAAAATACAGGCACTTTATTATTATAAACAGCTAAGATCAAAGAATACAACGAAAAAAAAGTATTAGTAAATGGCATAGGCAAATGATAAAGTTGGCAGAGCAAACCATTTTACATAGTTAATTTCGGAATTAATTATTTATAATAACCGCTTCATGAGGGTGTTTGTACATAAGTTTCTATGATTAGTCTTGCAGAAAACAAGTTTGAATGGAAATATGAGAAGACGATGTTCTTCGATAACCTTAAAATTCGTTCTTTTTTTTCGTGAATTGAAAAATGCAAATGTCAGGAGATGATGATGTGTGGAAAGGAAAATGGTAGGCAATGAAAACATATAAATTCATCAGAAAGTGATAGCGCAAAATGCGCAATCAATAAAAGAGACAGCGATAGTATGAAGAAAAACGTTTTTGGGTTTTAGCAAATTCTAAACAATCAAGAAATTGCCGTAATATTATTTTTTACCTATTTAAATTTAATTTGAATCATCAATCTACACTAAGTCTTCAACCTCACCTCATTAATTTCAATTTTAAGCAATCAATTTTCCCTGTTCTATCCAATCAATATATGTAGTTAATTAAAAAAGTTATCGTCCTTTTCGCTAAAATCAAAAAATTCTACAACATTTGCACGCATTGTTGTTGAAATAAGAACCGTTTTGGATTGTAATGGATTGTGTTCGTACCAAAATAATACAGCAAGTAGCAATTTATTTCTCGAACCTCCGTTAGTAACCTTTGAAAAGTGACAAACTTCTCAGACATCATTTATTAGAGAAATGTTCTTCTAAAGTTCAAATTACGGTTACAACAAATGATTCATCTCATTTTATCATTGATATTGCCATCGTTCAATTGCTGTGAAATTTTGGACAGTGATAGCTGGACAGAATTACTTAATTACACCTATCTAACTTGTAGCATTCTGATATACCTATCCAATTCTATCATGCTGATATTCCCTATCTAAACCTATTATTGTCAATGTCTACCTAACTTTGTATCATTCCGATAGGCTTACCTCATTTTCTATCATCGTGATATTTCCACCTAACTCTATCATTTCAATAAAAGTTAGCAGTAGAAAAATAAGGATTGATATAATTGAGAGCGATAGTTGGCATTATCTTATACTATAACTTATACTGAAATTCAGTGAAAATAAACAGCACTCATAAGACTTCTAAATTCGCATGCTTTTATAACTGATGAAAAAAAAAGCTAAGCATTTCAACAAGATGGGTTTCCATTTAATAAAGCTTAGCCAACCGTGCAAAGTATGCTTGCCATTCTTCAAATATCCATCAGCTCCATTAGTGCTTATATCTCATTTGCAAGTGCTCATGCAGTGAAATTCCAAATTTATATAAAAATTTTAGCTCTCGCATTCGATTTTAAAGAACATCTTCGTTGTTACGATTCAAAATTTGATTATTAGATGAAATTAAATACATTTAAATTAAACGATGTAGACTACATTAGAAGAAATATATCAATTTATCTGAAATTTCAAAAAATAACCACTTTTTTCATCATTTCTTTTTAGACTTAATTACCAGAACAGCTTTAGATTTGCTAATGTTCCTTTGCTATTCTTAAATTTTCCAACAGTTCCATCGTTTGGCTACATTTGTATCCAAGATTTTTCATTCCTAATCAGTTGGAGAAGTTTGTGGTTATTAAATTTGAAAATTGAGCAAAAATTGTTTCACAGCTAATAATGTGGACAGTGAGCAAATGTTCGTTCACTCCCATTTTTGAAATTAACTTGGAATTTGTCAAAATAACTTCAAATACATCTTACGCTTCCCTAAAAGTCGAAACATCAACTTTAAAAATTCACTAAACCGTCCCAACTCGTCCTATTCTGTTCTTTTCCATTCCATCCCATTCATTCCCTCTGTTCTGTCCCATTTCTATTCTATACATTCTTTGATGGGTGGTGCCTAATTTCTCATTATGGTCTTAGGCGAAAATGGCGCTATAGTGGATATTTGAATTCCATTGGATGCTTATTGGATAAATCCGGGAGGGACCGGAATGTTATCTTCGCAGGAGAGATGAGTTCTGAGGGGGACCGAGAACGGTGATGGATAGTTAGATCAATGCTTCCTTAATTTTATTTGTTTTCAGTTGCAGGAAGCTTGGAGAATTCAGATGGAAAAATCCAACAAGCAAGAGTAAGTTTCTTGAATTGTCTATTCTTCTTTATATTTCTTTCGTTCATATTTCTCATTTTTGAGTATATATAATTGAATATTTCAGGTAGCTGTTTGTCTTTCAATTTTTTAGTTATTTAAGATTGAAAATATCGTTTGCGGAATTAATTTAGAAAGTGATCGGAAGACCGCTAATAAACTGTAGACATTTTCTTGAAATATTCAAGACTGAAAAGTCATTCTTGATAAACTAATGTGAAAGAAAGATTTCATGAAATACCCATTCATCGGCTTGCTGTTATTGGCTTCATTAAGTTTTATTTTTTCTTTCAGTCGATGCAAGTCACAGAACAGGACCGCCATTGTGAATAATGGCTCTAATAGTGACGATAAAGTTGATCTATTCAATCTAGTATCGATCGATATGCTTGAAAATCTCAAGACCTGGGAAGAAGTGACTACCTCTTGGATGAAAGCTGCTGATAATTTTTGTCGTTTGAAAGTAATTTTTTCACCATTTTTTATTATAGAAAAACAAATTTAAACCACTATTTCAAGTCTCTATGCCATCAAACATTTTGTAATTAACAAGCCATTGCTGTTGCTCTGCACATAATAGTTGATATGTTGTGATTGCATTTGTAAGACGTTTATCTTAAAATTGATAACTAACTAAAGACGATTGTTCAGGACGATGAAATAAAATCCGAAACATACCTTCAACTAGCTGAAATAATTTTATTAGCTGTGGTGAAGGTCCCGGTAAAAGATGAATTTTCCGTGAGACCGGCAAGTTTTTCATCTCTTAAATTGATCCCGATTTCTTGAAAATTTTTTGCATTGGTGCACCGTTGAACAATAAAAACTGTGGTTTCATCCAAAAAAATATTATCGAAAATAATTAGTTTTAGAAGTTTAGTAGCTTTTATATATGTTATTGCGTATGTAATGTTTTATAATGAAATCACATTCGTTTTTTTAGCGAAGTATGATACGCATTTTTGAAGCTTGGGAGAATATTTATGACGCTGTCATTGAAGCATGTTCTCAGGATTCTATTCAGTGCTGCACATTTGTCATTAAACTAGCAAATCAAATAAACCAACTAATTGCATGCGAAAAGGTTGTGCAAGATATTTTAAATTTCTTAATTCGAAATTCGCTTTATTAGATATTTAAGCACTATAGAAATTGCAAGAATGTCTGTTATGGTTATTTCGACGTATGCGTGAGTATTTTATTCTGTATAGAAGATAGCTTGATTATCAGAGCATATAACCATGTAGAGTTTTCGGAGATTGCAACATCACCAGTGTATTATACATTTATGAACTTTGTTTCTTTCAGATGGATTGTCGGCTACTTTTCATTTATTCACACATAATTCGAGCTCAGATTGAATATTTTAATTATGATGTTCTTAATGATGTTTTTGTTGGTGGTCTGCTTTAGCTTTCTTCGTATTTTTATTATTTTTTTTTCTTCGCAGAAATTGATTCCACCTCAATTTTATTTTACAAAAATACAATTAATTCATTTTTTCTGATGTGTCTTTGAGGAAAAGCATTATATTATTTTTGCAATGAATTTTTGTTAGCTGGGCGAATGTTGCCAAATTTTTAAGAATACTTACAATAGTTGTGGAATTTAAGATGTGAAGCATAGTGACAGTAATATTGCCTACAAAATACTGTCTATTTTCAGACTTTGATTTGTCTGGAAAGGGAAACGTTCTTGATAGTTTTTGTAAGCTGCTAATCAAAATGCGAAAGCATTCACTCGAAATGCTTCTCAAGCATGCGGATAAGCAAACTGTAAGTCTATTATCTCTCTTACATATTACGTCTCCATGTTCTGAAAGAGAGTTGACATTGTAATTTTGATCCTGTTTCAGAAACTTTTGTTATACAACATATAATGCAAACCTCCATTGTTAAATAAAGTTGGAAATTCACAAAAATCGAATTTTGTGAACTTCCAACTCTTTGTCTTACGATTTATTTTCTAGGGCATTGCTCTTGAACTGATGTCTAAATCCGTATTAAACATTTTGGAGGCAGCAACAAGCCTAGTATCTCTAATGGCTAAACCAGCACACATTTTGTTTGTTGTTGGCGCTTTATCTGAATTCATGAGCAACTGCCTTGCTTTGGTGACGGAAAAAGGTTTTCGAATATTTTGCAAAAGCCAGACAAACGTTAGTGAAATTTTTGACATGATATAGAGTTTCAGAAAATGAAAATTTTGTATTCATAAACTGACGTAACGAAAACCCTCTAGAATTGGGATTTTGGGACTTAGTGTTTAGTAGTCTTTCAGTATTTTACGTTAATATTTAGGCTAGTACTAACCAGTTACTAACTTTAGCTTGAGTTTTTTTTTAGTAATTTGAAAAATTCTTGAGGTTATCGCGCTGGTGAAAACAGCTCTGACTACTTTGAAAAAGCATTATTCGGGACCGTACGACATGTCGTTGCTCAGTCTGTTAGAGCGAGTTTTCATTAACGGATTACGTCTGTCACGTTTGCGTCATTTTCTTGTCAATTTCTGGCAACAAACATTTGGTCACGCAAATCACCTCGATATTTTAGATGAGCTGAGGTTAGCTTTTATTTGGGATTTATTTGAGAAATCGAATCATTTTGTACTTGCCTGTTTTTTTCTAAAGTTTTGAAGAAGTTCAGCTTTCTACTAATTTTTCTACTTCATTCTCACATTTTTTTCCAAATGACTTGTTTTCTCATCTTAGAACAGATACGTAATAGAAGATAATCTTAGTGCTACTTTCTTTTTCATTTATTTACAATTATATTGCATGATATATACTTCCGTCTACTTAAGGTTTTACTGGCTTCATTACATCTTTAAAAATGAAAGGTATAATACAGTTCCGATACTTTATGACAGTCCTTTAAAAAATATCAATTGAAAAATATTTATTGCAGAGCAGAATAGATTGAAATTACATAGGATGTAAAAAAATTGTTTGGATTTTTTCTCTATAATTTATTCTTCAGCACTGCTTTGGAGCAGGCCAAATGTGCATCGATAAGTTTCGGTTCGGAACAGCAAGATTTTTCAGTAATAGACAATTCAAAAACATCAATATCTTATGGGACAAATTTTAACTTGTCCATGGAAAAGAGTAACGACATTGTTAATAAAAGTGTAAGTTAAGTAGTTAGAGTTATGCAATTAAAAACCATTTAGTTTGAGTGTTACCGTTCAGTTCATAATCGCATTCATCCATTTAATACTTTTTAATTGCTTTCGGAGTATTTTTCTTCTTGAATTTGCGCTGCCAGGATGGTTCATCTTGCTGCTTGTTCTGCGTATATAATCGATTTTATCAGTACAGATCTTATGGTTTTAGGTTCCAATAGATATATCTAAGATAAAATGTCGACTTATTATATGGAATGAAATTCTTCGCTTGAATGTTGTTTGAATAAATGGGCAGGTCAAAACATGCAAAAAATTAAAAAATTTAAAGTTCGGCGGTGATTTAAGTTTTTTATTTACAGAACTTTGAGCATTCCCCTCTGAAAAGTGCACAGTCTTCACTTTCAAAATGCAGAACGCTGAAACATGTGAAGGATGAAAGTATGGAAGAATATGCAATTATTGACGTGTCGCATTCTGAGAAGAAAATGAAATTAACTGATCACCAGAAAGAAAAACTAATGATAAGAAGGTTGAAAGATTAAATATGCCAACTACATATTTTCGAAAAATCTTGAATAACATTTGTTTGTTTCAGTGAGAGCCTTCTATTTCTTACTGACGAAAGTCAATCGGTCGATTTGGCAGCACGTATTCCAGCAGGATATATTGATAGTTCATCGCAAGAGAAGTTTGTTCTGAATATATGTAAGACAAATGGAGTGTGCATGTGGTAACATAGCTCTGTGTTTATATGATAAAAATTGAAAATAGAGTTCTTGAATTGAAATGAGCTGAAAATGGAGAAGTATGGCACCTAGTAGCAATTATAAACTTGAATTGATCAACTATGGTGTATTAATTTATATTAATGATATGTCATAAATAAAATATCAAATTTCAGCTCATCAGTAGTGAAAGCTTCAGAAACAGTATCATTGATTAAAAAAAATTATACTGAAGATAATTGCATAGTCGCTCCAAGCACCTACGTTCGATCCAAAAATGAGGATCTGCCCACTGAAAATATTAGCGAAAATAATAATAATGCGAATGACATAGGTGGTGGCGATAGCAATATTAACAGAATAGTAAAAAACTCTGTAGTTTTAGAGGTTTGCTTTGCAATTCTTTCCATGATCTAATGTATTAAAAAGCTTGCGACAAGATTTGTAGATTTAAGTGGATATTCACTTTGGTTCATAAAACTTCGTTGAAATCAAATTCAGCTTAGTTTTTTGCAGGTTTTCCTTAATTTTCTTAATCCGAAATTTTATGTAATGTTGCGACTTTATAGAATACGCAAGTTGATCAAGCTATGGGATTTAAGGAACTTAGCATAAATGCTGGTCGGTGTTTTGCTCTCTGAATTTTTATTTTCGTTGCATTTAATATCTTTTTTCGGCACTTCAGTTAGCATAGAATTTAATACCAAGAAATTTATGTCTATGGTAGCATGCAAACTACTGTTTGATGAGAATTCAGTTAAGATGTTGTATCTTATTTTTCAACATTCTGCATTTTTGAGTAATGGAAAGCCTTATTTTTTTCTTAACTACAGTAACAGTAAGGAATCGCAAAGAAACCAACACTTAACAAGAGGAATCATTTGAGTAAGATAGGTATTTTAGTGCTATTGCTCTCGAATTTACAAAATGTGCTCGAGCATTTTAGATCTTCAAGGTCAAACCAGTGCCAAAGACAAGGTCAGCGGTGAATCAGCGATTATTTTGTTAGATGAACATATGAAAGATTCGGAACCAGAAGTTTTGGAAGAACCAACACTTTCGATAAGATGTGAAACTCCTGTAACTTTTTATGATGTTTCACCTTAGCGGAAGTCTGAGACTTCTATATTTGGGCCAAATCTCCTATAGTTTTTTCTTTCTTCCTTAATATTTGTATATTTGACTATCTTCGGCTTCATTATGAACATTGGCTTAGGCTTTGTTTTTTTGGCATTAACATTCAAGAAATTTAAAATTTGAATCTGTCGAAAGTAAATGTAAGTATGTGATAATAAATTAATCGTCAGGAAATAGCAGATTCACATTTGGAAAGCGTGAGCCCGAAGGAGAATGCAGACGAACCAATGAGAACACCAAACAGCATATTGAAAAAGTGTGGTAGAAGATCAACTTATCCGGCAATCAAATTCTTTTCAGCCAGTGCAAAAAAAGTAATTTCAGATTTCGAAAAAAAAATTTTTGAGACGTGTGAAATTGAAAGGCTGTAACAATTAGAAAAAAATTTCTTGGGTAATTTTATTATCTAAAAATTTTAGATATTATCAGTGTGCAATAACCGTGAAAAATGGATATAATTGATGAATTCAGCGCACTAATATGATGACTAATATTATGATTCCTTTTCGAGAGGTCGTATATGAAACTGTGCTGAACTGCTATTATGAACTGTTTTATATTGATTATCTGATCAGTTTTGTTAATAAGTAATATTATTTTTAAGTGCAAACATGTTCATTTCGATGCGTCAACTCTAGACGATGACGATATTTATGGTCCTCCACGTAGAAAAATTTTTCGGCGATCCAGAAATCTGCTATTTTCTGAATTACCGGTAATTTTTACTGCATATTCATTTCCACATTTCTATGTGTTTTTTATCTCATTATTAACTCTGATACGTTCTCTTTAAATTTCAGCAGGTAAAGAAGCAGCATGAGTAGCTAAACGAAATCTTTATTTTAATTTAATAGTAAGAAGAGGGTTTAAGTAATATGTGCAAATGAACATGTGCAATTATCTGAGACGCAGAAAATGAGCTTAAAGGAATTTTAGCTGTAGTTTCTGATGAGTATCTTCCAGCAGCTTGACAATCGTTCTGAACCAACTTCGCCTTCAAAGCGATTGTCTATATTGCCCACCAACAAAAATCCTGCTGATGCAGTTTTTCCGACGCTAGTCGGATCAGAGGAATTGATTCCACCACAGATATATCTCAAACTGGCTCCAGCAATGAGGTATGATTCCAAATATACATAATGGGATTTTTTCAGTTGTAACAGCTGGAGGATATTCCATTAAAAAAATTTTAACTAACAGTAAACTAAATCTTCATCAAGCTACTGCAACAGCGCTTTCCAGTTTTATCAGTTATCAATTAAATATGAACTGTCTTTAGTTCCCTTGCTCTGCGATCTCTAATGAAGTCACGCGGCGTTGCTACTGTTGGTGATCTTGCTTGTATGTCAGAGCAGGATATCGAAACATTTCCATTTCGAGACCCGAAATTAAGCCGTTTTCTGGGAGCGCTTGAGGATTATTTCAGGATGGTGATTTTTTCGTATGAAAAGAGGTGGCAGAAAGTTATTTATTGAGAATAATTACTGAAATTTCTCTTATTTTTTAGTATGATTTTGTAATGACACAAAGGTAGAATTATATATTGATTATAGCCTATTGAGTTATGACACATGTTTATACTGAAAAAATTGGTTCTGAATCTTATAAACTTAAATGAAACGAATTAAAAAATGCTTAATTTTCGGAGAAATCGAAATTTGCTTTGCAAAACATCTGTCAATGTTCCTTACTTTCACTTTTTTTGAAAAATATAGATTTTATTACAGAAAAATATGGTAAGCAAGGAAGACGCGATTGAATTGGAGAAAATCATGAAACGTCGATTAAATTCGCCTGCTGACTGCTTGAAAGAAGTTCGTCTGCAACCTACTAATGAACATGAAGCTAAGACAGTAGAACTACGCATTATTGATGTCCCTGAAACATTAGGTAAAATAACCTCTGAAACTTGCGGAGATGAAGTTCTTAAGGCACCAATTAAACATAGTTATGTGAATCCATTCCAAAATGGTCCCAAACGATTCACACCCTGTTCTGTTACGCGTTTGGATAATAGCGAAACAGATTGTTCATCAAAACCGGATTTGAAAAGCATCCGAGCTACACCATCCTTCGAAATTAGGCAAAGGACTGAAAAGCAAGGTTATTGTTTTTTATTATTGTTTGTATTTCATATTCCTTTAACTCCTGTGCAGTTTAAATAAATTTATATTCTAAGATATCAATTCGTGATAGTTGCCTTTATGAGATTCCCACACGCTTCTTCAATTATCTAACTGACATGATCGAAACTGGCAGTACTTGGAAATTTAGCAAACTCGCGTTAATCTATCCTTTCCATCGTCGAATGATGTTACCTTAGAAATATAATGTAGTGATGAATCAACTAGTTTCAAAGTGTTTGGAAATTCTTAGACTTGTAAATGAATCCCGGTGTTCAGGTATATCCAAAATATAATGACTTGCAATTCATTTTTTAAATTGTTAATTTTAGATGACACTCGGTCTCGATTTGGTTTCCTTCATCCGTTCATAAGGAATCAGAAATTATTGAATGTTGAAGGTCCAATAACAATGGCTGCATTGGAGAAAAATGGCACAAAGAATTGTATAGATTCTTTATCCTTATCAGGACATGACAGTAGGGAAGAGAGGCTTGCTATGAAACCGCCGCTATCGAATGTAAATATCCGAAGCTGTGGATCAAATAACAATATGAATAATGTAAAGCCAGAGGAGGATGACGAACATCATGATGCTAACGATTCTCTCAAAAATGCTTATCGCATATTTCTTGAGAATTCGGTTGTTGCAGCATTAGCAGGTATTTTCACTAACGGTGTTATAACAGTTTACCGATCGTTGATGGAACTCATATCTGAGGTCATTCGACTTAATAATCATTAATATTTGACTGTTAACTTGAAAACAACCTGAGCAAAATTTATTTCTAGAGATTTCTTCTCCAAACTGCGCTAACCGTCTTATCTATAATGATAATGGATTATTTGCCTAACTTCACTGGGAATCAGTGACTCGCGCAGCGAAGCAGTCATTCTTATTACAAATTATTTATATTAATGGGGAATAGTTCATAAAGTTTTTGAATATAAGGAAACTTTCGTGTCGCAGCATTTCAGGTATTTACCCAATAAAGAAATTTAGCAACGAACAATTGCTCTCTTTTTGTCAAGCATGCACTTCTTTCCAAACGGCAGTTCTAAGTTCATCGAGAAAAATCGACGAAGAATAATATTGGAAAGTTATAACTTGTCAAATAGTGTATCACTTCTGAGAAGAAAACCTCCTCTCATTTTAATATAAAGCATGAAGTGTTATATGGTATAGATTCTTATCGGTCATTTTTGAATTCATTTGGTTTGCACATTTATGTTTGAAAATTTGTCCAATATATCTTGCATTTATAATTTCACAAGTTTCTGTCATTGTGACAGTTTCTTTTTTGTTTTCTTTTAGACATGTGATTTTTGCAATGGATTTTCTACCTTTTCATTTTATTTTTAATATAATGTTTTGTTCTTTTGTTCTATGTTTGCATTTTTTTAATTTGTATGATGTTTAGCAAAAAAGATTCGGATTTCTTGACTTTTATAGATTCCTGTAAAGAATGATTACTTTCTATCAGTCCATTGACTCAAATTAGAGAAGATACACAGAGGTGAGAGAGAAACGGCACTACAGACTGAGATTAAATTATGATCTAATCAATGGTGGCAATTGCTTTTTACATTTTTGTTTCATTAATATTGTGAGTAATATTTGTACTTTACTATGAGATTCATGTAGATAACTTCTGCTTATTTTATGTCTGAAACCGTGAAATAAAAATTATTGCCTAAACACCGAAATCATCTATAGATTCTTATCGGTCATTTTTGAACTCATTTGGTATGCACATTTATGCTTGAAAATTTCCGCGATTCATCTCAGGAGAGAGATGAGTGTGGATGTCTGGCTGTTATTATTTCATTCCATGAGAGTACGTGGCAATTTTGGAGTCCAGGGAAGTTGCAATCCTGAAATGTAAAGATTCTCTAGCTTGTGAGGAGGGCGTTCTCAACTGGCCTTGTTAGCGGAATACATTTTTTCATTAAGAAGGGAAATCTTGTCTGATACCGTCCAATATGCGATACATCACTATTGTATTCTAAAGATGTGTTCGTTGGGGCGTTGGTTGTGTCATGAGAATGCGCTTTCGATTTCCGGCTGCTTTCGACAGTCGGTAGTTTGGGTTGCTTTCTATTTCAATTTTTCAAATTAAATGTAAAGTGAGAAGTAAGCACAACTACCAGAGTATGTGTCGGCAGTCGTTACCTTTAAGTTGAACACATCCGTGGAATTTATTCAATTACTGATTAAATTACCAACCCACATAATCATATCATATGGATTTTGAAAAATAACCTTCATGATCGTAGTCTCCAAGAAAAGTTTGCATTGCTTAGCCTTTCGCATATGTTATTGACGATCATATATGAGAAGTAATTGAGCAGAATTTAATTAGGCAAATAAAAGGAGAAAATGGATGCAAGTGTTAGTTGTAGAAAGATGTGTGTTTATCATACTATTTTAATTAACATTATCAACTCATCTGATTTACTGCTTGTATGACTGACTTAGTAATAACTTTAGATAAGCGAGCTTAATACAATCAAATTGCTCGATTTTAGCTTTTACCAATTCAAATAAAGTTTCAAATACTGCATCAAGTCAACTTAATTGATATTGTTCCAGGCTTCACATAAAGCGAAATCACCAAAACCATTGAGTGGACAAGTAGCTTTAGTAACTGGTGGTGCGCGAGGTGTTGGTAGAGGGGTTGCGTTGCAACTTAGTGAAGCTGGAGCAACGGTGTATATTTCGGGACGGAAACCGGGTTCGACCCCAGGCATACCTACTTTGCATGATACCGTCAGTGGTCAGGTTTTTCCTCCTACAGTCCTTTTACAATAATGTCATTACTGCTTAATTGCAAGGGAACATGAGAGAATTTCTTTTTTTTTTCGTTTACAGCCTTCATTCTTTAATTGATAATATTTATCAGAAGTTACAAGTACTCTCTAATACATGATGTTGCAATAAACAAGTTATAAGTCTTTGTTTGCAGGAAAGGCATATATGAGAAGTATTGCTTGGAAAGTAGTTGATGCTCTTCTACTTTTGCAGTCTTAAAAAAACAATAATATTTCCAGAAATTTCAAGGAGAGGTGGTAAAGCTGTTGCGATTTACTGCGATCACAGCAAGGATGATGAAGTTAAAGAACTTTTTGAAAAAATTGCGAAGGCCGAAAACAATCGATTGGATGTGCTGGTCAACAATGCTTTCTCAGGAGCCATTGTATGTTTTTGTTGAAAATATTTGAGAATATGAAGTATAGGAAATCAATTGAACTTTTAAAGAAAATGAATTGGTTTGTTGTCAAGGAATTTTTAGTTAATTGTCGGTCGGTTTTACTTCATGATAAACATCTTGCTTCTATCGTTTTTATTTTATATTGTCAAACTACTTCGTTATTAATTTTGCATAGTAATTCACTTTTTTTTTTTGTTTTTTCTTAGTAAAGAGCAAGTTTGAGAAAGTTCAAATGTTATTTATTTTTCTTTTGCTTATTTTTTGTTTTTGTCAAATGTGTTTACCGCTGTTTGATGACTGACATTGTTCCAGATCATTTGTTTATTTCGATATTTAAGATTCTTGATTGATTAAGACATGAAAAGACTACTGCTAATTAAAGTAAAATTAGTATTAATTTATACTAATATTCGTGATGTGATGTAATGACTGAAAAAATCGTTCTTACATCAGAAATGCTAAGTCAAGTCACAGATAAATACTTTTGAAAAACCAAAAATTTTTAGTGTTATTTTAAAATTGTTTTTTATTCCCCCAACACTTGGTTCTGCAGGCAATGGAAAAAAATGTCGGTAAAAAGTTTTTTGAATGTCAGCCATCATTTTGGGATGAAATAAACAATGTTGGTTTGCGAAACGTTTATATTTGTTCAGTGTTAGCTTCACGTATGATGGCCGCGCGTCAAAAAGGATTAATTGTGAATATCAGTTCAGCGGCAAGCATACGCTATTTTTTTAATGTGCCCTACGGAGTGGGTAAAGCAGCTGTAAGTTTTTCGCTTATATTGGTAATTGATAGCTTTTGCAAAATTTTGGACATGAAATATTTTTTATATACGGCGAATCACTGAGAATGAGACTACAGATGGCTCGTTCATTTGAATTATGGATATTCGAACTGCCAATAATACGTGATTGTCACAAGACTTTATTTTCACTTAGAACTTCAATAATTTCTTCTAAAGGTTTAAGAATTTCTTGTTTGTTGTTTTATCGTTTTATTAGTAATATCCTGTCGAAGATATTATGTAATGAGTTTTCGAAAAATTAAGATCGATAAGATGTCTGCGGATATGGCGGAAGAGCTAAAGGATTATAGAGTGGCGGTGATGTCACTGTGGCCTGGAACAGTGAAAACTGAAAAATCATACGATTGGTTGAAGTCTGGAATGCTGAGTAAACTTACGAGAATGCCTCAGGTGTCTTATTCTGATGTACTTTCGCAATCCTTTTTACTTTTCCAGTGTTTTTTTTTTGGTGGCACCTATTTATATTAGCTTTTTTATAGTCATAGTTTACTTAAATATCATGCAACCGTGTTTCAAAAAACAGTGTTTATCATAAATAGAAAATGTCTGCAGGATCATCTATTGCTGAACAGACTAATGCATATTAGAAAGTGATATATAACAAACGTATCCTTAATTAAATTTTTTAAATAATTTCAGACTAAAATAGAGCGCATGGTAGAAAAAGGAGAAACTCCTGAATTTGTTGGGCGAAGCGTGGTGTGTTTGGCCTGCGATAATCGAGTGCTGAGGAAAACTGGATGTATACTTTTAACGGGTGATCTGTGCAATGAATATTTGTTTCTTGATAATGATGGTTAGTCATTTACTATCTTGATAATGATGGTTAGTTAGTTATTAAATTTGATTGTTTGGAATTATTTGCGAAATGTCCTATGGAAATTTAATACTTGCAGTCTTCTGAAATTTATTTTTGGTGGAAGACCAACGATTTTCGAAGAATCGAAATATATTATATTACAGTGGTTAATATATGCCAATATTTTACATTCTTTCCTTTTTTTTTCAGGAAAAATCCCTTCAAATATGAGGAGCGTAAGTGTTGCATTAGATTTTTTTGGATTCACAGCAATGGCGAAATTGATACCAAGCTTCTTGAAAGTTCCAGCCACATTTCTTCATTTGTCGTCTAATAAATTTTATAAGCTGTAAATCACATATATTCAAATTAATTTTTTTTAAAATTATAGCCGTGTTAAACTTTAATGGCAAGGCGTAAGACAAGCAGAAATGTGTTCTCTCCAAAACAGCTAACATGGAGTTACCAATTTCATGAAATTATTAATTCCTTACAGTTCTTTGAATTTTTAGGTCCTCGGTTTATTAGTATTATATTCAGATATATTTCATAGTTGTTCACAGCTTTATAGTAGTAGAAGTAAGCAAATGTGTAGTTTTTGAACGAACACATTCGCAATACATTAAAATAAGGATGGCTGTGGGTGGTATCGCTATAAAATGTCGAATATTTCGGGAAGCTTCATAAAAAACGAAGAAGGCATTACAATTTATTGGTTGGCTGGCTAACTGAAACCAGAAAAGGAATTCAATCCATTTAGTCTTTGTTAAAATGTATGATCTTGAAAAGTAATCCTCAATTTTTACAGCCTGTCTATTTAATTTGATTTGTAACGAATGAATAAAATAAGCTTAACCGAATATTGCGAAATATGAAACTGTATTTGCAAAAGTATTTGCATTGCACTACTGAAAATATAATTTGATGTTTGTACAAATTTGCATCACTTCTATTGGATGTTTGTTTGATTTTGTATTGGTGTTGATTATGGCACTTTATACATATTATGTTTAAATTTCACTATTAATTTATATGTTTATTTAGGACTTCCGAGATGATCATTTTGTTGAAAATGACAACTGATTGCAAAAAAAATTTTTTGAAGTAATCATATGCTCTTTGGACTATTTTCTTTGAATCGAATTCGCTTTTTCCTATTAAGCTCTGGCCAATTCAGCATGGATTCTAATAAAATTCTAATGAAATTATGGAATGATGGTACTGATGCTTTCTTCATTTCAAGAGAAAGTGATGTGAGGGATTGATCGTGTCAGGAAATTTGTTTATTATCCCTATCATTCTGATCACCTAATCAGTGACAGCATTTTATCACATGAGAAACTTTCGTTTATCAAAATTTATCCATTTTATGCATGTCATTTTAGTGAAATCAAAGAGATGCAAAAACTGGTATTATCTGTTATTTCATACTTTTAGCACGAGTTCGGATAGGAAGTAGATTGTTTCACTATCCTTAAAATATCGACATACTATTCCATAATTACGGAATCAGTGCTGCCATTTACAATTTTTTATGAACTCCACTCTGAAGCATAATATAATGATTGAATGAAGCTTCGATTTTTTTATCAGCAAATTTTAATTTTTACTAATGAAATCGCATATTAGTAACAATATTGTTTCAGTGGATTTTTTGCTCGACAATTGAAGTGTTCTCTATAGAAAGATTACCTGCGAAATGATATCGTGTAAATAGAATTAAATAATCTCCATAATCACATCTCATTACTTCCTAATACATATAAATCATTCATGCATGTAAACGCAAGTGAAAATATAAGAGGATAGAAGAAAAGTAACAACATTGAAATTCAATAACTAAACTTTAGACGAAAAAAAAGGAACGGAAGCTGAGATAGGAAGAGAACAATAAACTGATATGTGTGTATAGTGCTATTGTGTGAAATTAAAAACAAATGCATTTTCAAAATTAAACTGCAATTGCATATGAATGCATCTTAAGCATATATAATGTAGAAATAATTTTCTTACAAGTGGCTTCAATGACTGGAATTTGCTTAATCTCAATAAATTTCTTCAAAAAAGAAACAAAAAACGAAGATGGGACTAATCTTTCTTTCTTCAATCATGCATAAATTAAAATTAAATTGGTAATTATTTCATCGATGCATTATATATATATATATACATATGCTTTTCATATTTTTTACTTGTAAATCATTTGGGAACAGTGAAGTGTATTTATTATTTCCCTTTCATTTTTACACTTCTCAGTGGTATAATTAGGTATACCCTTGCTAATGTTTAGTTGAAAATAAAAGAAAGTGAAAATTTTCACGCAAACTATTTATTATCACCTAATATTATTTCAGCTATTTTCTTTTATTTATCTGACAATTTTGCTTTTTATTTTTAAAATGCTATCAAATATTTATTTTCTAACAGCTGAAAAATGAGTATGGCAGTGTAATTGGTCTCATTTTATATAATACCAGCTTATATGAGGCTTTTGCAAGGCGATCATAATTTTTATTCTAAAAGCATTTAAGCGTAAGTAATTTAGAATATCGTAGGCATATTTACAAGTTTTTCCTTTGTTTTTTAGACTTTGATGGATTTCTTTTTTTCATGGACCATCGAACTTCAGCGAAGTAAATATTTGCAAAATTTTTCAGTAAGGTCTTTTTTTTAAAATAGAATTTCATAATAAATTGGAGCTAATTGTTCCTTTTAATCTTTCTTTTATATTAATCACTGTTATTCTTTTGATTGTATGGAAAATTTTAAGAAAAACAAAATCAATTTTAATTTATGAAACGATCACTTCAGATCACTAACATTTTTCTAGATCATTTTGATTTCAATTGGATTCATCTAATAAACCTCACAGTGTCATTATTGTCTCTTTTGCTCTTTTCATTTCTCATCCGTTCTTTCGTGCTTTTCAGCTTTAACTGCTGATTGGTTGCTTGAGACTAAAATAAAATAAAAAAATATGTTCATAAAATTATGAAGTAAGTCAATAAAACAAAATTTTTTCTATCTCAATTTCTTTGCAATTTATGCTTAAATTTTGTTTTGTCTTTGATTTTCTAACATAAATTAAAATTGTATAATTTCTTTTCTACAAACTTTGTCAGCTTTTCAAATTTCAGATTTTAAACGATTGATAATTCTTTGATCTATTTTCTTATCGAATTTCATTTTATCATTTGCAATAATTTGAAATTGAAAGAGAAAAGAAATACTAATATGAAATGTTACGCCTTATTAAAGAAAGGAATTCAAATTTGATTTCACTCACTGTGAAATATCATAACTGAGATACAAATAAAAAAATTTTTTATTAAAGACTGAACTGAAGTTTACTGTAGGAAATAAAAATTTATTATAAATTTGAAAGAGCTGTCTGGCTCAATATTCCATTTCTTATGATTTTACAAATTTACTGTTCCAGATCATAATAACACACCACCATTTTATAATCCTTTAACTTTTCCGCCATATCCGCAGACATCGATCTTAATTTTTTGAGAAATCTCTACAGTGTTAAATTTCAGCAAAATGTTACTGATAAAACGATAAAATAACAAACAAGAAGTTCTTAAACATTTAGAAAAAGTTCTAAATAAAAATGTTAAGACTTGTGACAATCACGTATTATTGGCAGTTCGAATATCCATAATTCAAATGAACGAGCCATCTGTAGTCTCATTCTCAGTGATTCGCCGTATATAAAAAATATTTCACGATCAGAATTTTGCAAAGCTATCATTAATATAAGCAAAGAACTTATACCTTCGCCTCCCTCTCTCTTTTTTCTTTCTCCTTCTTTAGCTTTCCCACAAGAGAATATATCAGGAATTAGAAGTTCATTTATTTTTGCACAGTTTTTCATCTCGTTTTTTATCAATTATTTGTCATTACGCTTACAATCACATTATATTATCATTATAATCACTAATATTCTTACTATCAAACATCCTATCACTATCACTTTTACTATTTACTTAATAATAAATTTAAATGAGAGTCGTGGTTCATTCCTATTACAAAATGCACTATCCTTTCAATTTCCGTTCATTGGATTTTTTTTCATTTGAATACTATGACAATTGTCTTGAGAAGGTCTGAATTGCCTGAAGGATTGAAGATGAAGCATTTCACACGGAGAGAAATTAATTCGACTTCACTTCAATGATGCGATGTGACGTTTTGCTTTTGTGTAAATAACAGTGATATTTTTCTTTTTTTATTATTGAAATATTGACGTTTTTTACCCGTCCCTTTCATCGCCGTTTATTTATTTATCCTTGCCATACTTTTCCCACATATTGAATGCACCAATAAAAATGTTAATGTGAGCACATTTAAATGAGAATCATAAATCTTCCTGAAAGTTTAAACTATCTTCAGTCATTCCTTTCTATCTATTTGTCATATTTTGTTAGAATTTATTCAGGTTTTTTCTTTTTTTTGTTTTTCGAAATAAATTTTGCTTTTATTAGTCGCAATCATTAAATAGTTTATTTCCTAATAACTTATCGCACTTCTGGAAGAAATATTTTCTTAAATTACTAACAAATAAGTCAAAAACTGATTTAATTTTTTTTAAAGGAATTGAATAGTTTACTTTCTTGATGGCTGCATAATTTCAGTCTTTAACCTTCCGACTTCCTTTCCATCTCCATAGTTCTCTTCCACTGTGACATTAAAATGATGCGAGATATCAAAAGACTGTAATTTAACATATTCTTCAGGTGTACTAATGATCAGTGATAAAAGATATGAATTGTTAGAAAAGTTATTACCTCTGCAACGACCGAAATCATATATTTTGACTTCATTCAATGAATAAGTTCATTGATTCCCAATAAAAATAATAATTAATTCACATGGGATTAATCTCTTCATACTTATCACTGACATTGCGCAACGATAAAGCCTATCACGTTTCATATTATTGTACGAATCATATCATTCCAAGTAATGTAATTCGTTCTCGATTCTTGATATGATGGAATATGCTGTTTTAATAATAACTTGATGACTATGATTGCAGCATTAATTGAAATTTCATAAAAATCCATTAATTATTTCAAAATATTAACTGCATTATGATTCTAGAAAAATCGAGAATGAAACGAGGAATTTTTACCATAACAAATGTTTTTCCTGTTCATGATGGAACAATTATTAACGGCATGTTGCATCATATTCAAATTGGTAATTGAATTCATCGGTTAAGCTTACAAAATGGGTAATCGTATTTCACGGGACAAAGGAAAGAAAACGATTATTGATGCATTGAATGATCCAGGCGGTAGTGTTTCACGGAAAATGTCTAATTCTGGAACACCGAAACGTAATAAAATGAATACAAAGCGTGATGAAAATATGTCATGTCAGCAGCAAATGTCAATCTCTCAAGAATCATTCCACGAGAATCTAAAATTGGACATATTTTGCGATAAGCCAGATAAACTGGTTCATGATAATGGCACAACGTATGTGAATGATGGAAAATGGAAATCAAATTCAGAATCTAATGAGCAATTTTCCATGCGATCAAAATTATTGAATAAAATGAAGTGCAAAGATTTAAGAGGGCAACCAAAAAGTGACAGAAGTGATGTAAAGCGTAATCAATCATTGGTTCGAATGAGGTATTATCAGTTCAATTTCTTCATATTGATAAAAAGATTGAAAATGGAGTTTTTTGATTATTAACAGTTTTATTGCGAACAGACAGAAATAATCTCTCATCAACGTGCAAGAGTTTTAAAGTAGCAATTAATATTTTCAAATATTCGAAGATTTTCGAAATGTCCTTAAGGATTTAAAATAATTCAATTATCATAAAATGTTTAGGAATAATCTTACAGATTAATTCAAATCCGTTTAAAATCAAAATAGATTCGAAATTATTTAGAATATTTTTTCTGCAAATAGCAAATAGTAATAATAATTTTGCATTTATGAGTGAAATAATGCAGCGATTCAAAATATGGAAAATTCAGAAGTTGTCAAGTTTAGTGAGAATCATAAAAGACTTAAAATTTTAGCACTTCAATTCCAGATTAGAAAAGCATGAAAATATTACCTGACAATTATTTTTTCACTCCGCCTAATTACACTCTTAATTAATTCTATTGTTAGCTTTTTTAATGCTTTCAGTTGCTTCTAAATTGTCATTTCTAATTTATAAAAAAGTTTTTAATGGAATTAAACGTTGATTTTTTGATTTCAATACGATCTTTCTCTTAAAATGAAAATTTTTTGCTTCGACATTGAAGAATATTTTGTCCAGATCATCAAATCTCAGCGAATCACGACAAAAATGTCGTAGTAATAATAACAACAACAACAATAATAATAATTTGGATTATCGTGGAACTCATCCGATTACATCTCAGGGACGTGAAATCATTCAGGCCTGCTTCAGTAATCATCACAACGAAATTGGTTATCGTATTTGCATGCGAGTTTTTGAAAAGCGTCCTGATTATCAAAGGTTTCATTCAAACGTGTATATATAATTATAAATAGATATTATCTATTCATAATCTCAAAGATATTTTGTTGAAAACGATAGTGGAGAGCTTTTATTTTCAATTTATTTCAAATGAAAATCAAAGAGGTAAATCGGATGAATGAAATAAAGTTTAATATTATAAATTTAACTGTTCCTAATTTTCAGGTACGTATATGCTCTTGGCAAGGAAAGATGGTTAAATACCTCCGCTGAGCTTCGTGATTACCTAAATAATGTTGTAAGTAAGGTGAGTTGTACAAAATAGATAATTTTAATTGAAATGATCAAATAATCATTCTTTGTATGGGAAGGAGTTGGTATTATTGTAATGTAGTATTATTAGGATTATAAGTAATAAGTGAATACAGCAATGAAAACTTAACAAAAGGTCAATGTAACATAAAAGCTAAATAATGTTTCAGGTTCATGATGTGGCAGCAGTGGAAGAAATATCACGACATTATGGTGAGCAACATGTACAATTGAAAAAATATGGCTTCAAGCCTGATTTTTGGGTCAGCATCGCCGATGCGATAGCAATTGAATGTGTGATATTGGATATGGCTAATCATCAAGTAATTAATTCACTCATTCAGTTAGCAAGTCTGTTGCCAGTTTTTTAATTCGAATTGCAGTGCAAATTATTTTAAGCGTTAATTAATTTTGAAATGAATTTTATTTTACTTTTTTTAAAGACACCTAAATATTATTAAATTTTGTATAACTTAAAATGATAAATTTTTAATTTCAGCCAACTGAAACGGTAATGGCGTGGTCTCAGTTAACATCGTTAATGTTTACATCAATTCGTGATGGTTACTATGCAGCATTACGATTTCAACGACAAACACTCAAAAGTTGTAAGAGTTCGCAATGGCATCTGGCAGTTGATTCTATCAGAAGTTCAAATTCGTCTATCGTTGAAGAATTTGTTAGTTGATATAGAATGGAATTATTTGAATTATCGGACCGTTTGAAATAATAAATTTGATGAAATAAATTAGATATTACCCAATGATCCGACAGTTTTTTACATTGAGTAATGAAAGCGCAATTAAATAATAAATCTGATCAATTGAAAAATTCACTTGGTGTTCACTTAAATTCACTTAAAAAAACTTTTTAATGATATGTTGGAAATTCTAAAATTTCTATGTCTAACATTTGATGAATTTATATGAAAATTCAATGTAATAATCTCAAAATTGTTATCTGGTAATAATTCGATAAAATTAAATTTTTTGCAACAATAAGAGATCCTTCATTTCCAGTTTTGCATTTTTCTTCAATTTTTCGATATCCTTATTTTTTAGCATAACTCATTCTTTCACTTTCGACCACTTTAAATTCATCTAACATTTGCCAATTTTTGGATTTAAGCAAAACTAGTAAATATTAATGTAATCACTGGCCAAATTAAAATTACACTTCTTACGATTATTGCATTTGAACAGTTCGATCACTGTCAATATATACACGTAATTTGACATATTGTCATCTGCAAATGTCTTCAATTCTGATAATAACAAAGACTTCATTACCAATTTGTTCCATCGATTGTCGTATTGATTTCTCTAATTTATAATTATTGGAATATTTTAAAATTATTTTCATTATAGCTAAAATTATAGCTATTTTCATTATTAACAGTTTGTTACTTCTATCGTCTTGAAATTACAATAAACTGATATCGTATGAGTGACTGATTACATGATTTATATTTTGATACCATGATACTTGCTTGCATAAAAAATATCAAAAGTTACTGTCTTTCTCTATAAATGATTGTACGAAATTCATTTAAATTATTCGTTATTTGTAAGAAAATTACCAATCCACAGAAAAAGTATTCAATTCATTTGGTTTGTTTTTCAACTTTTTTAAAAATGGCAGTTATCACTGTCCTATTCATTATTTTGAATCGTTTATGAGGCCTGTGGAGGCAAGGTCAACTGTTGCATTCTTCACCATCGACAAGCTTACATCATTGCTTAACGTTTGATGCAACATTTCGCTATTCGACGTTGCATTTGTTGATTTTTGTTCATTTACGACGAGTTCATTTAACCAGTATGTGTTTACATCTCCTGCAACAGTTGAATATTTCCGTACATTTCAACATTAATTCAAGATATATTCTTCAAGTAAAAACAAATGACCTTTGCCTTTTACGTTTACAACTCCACGTTTTGTGAGTTTATATTTGGAATTTTCCATTAAAATTTTTGCTGTACTTTCAGCTACTTGTATCTGATTAGATTCACAGTTACTTTGCATTCGAGATGCAAAATTTACCTGCAAAAAAAAGGAATCGTATACTGTAAAATTTTTATTTCTAAAATGAAATGCAAAAAACTACATAAATTGGATTTTTTGAAAAAAAATACTGTATAAAAAAACATACCGTATCACCAAATAAACAGTATCTTGGTGATCGTAAACCGATGACACCAGCAGCAATAGGTCCACAATGGAATCCGATACGAACACGAAGGTGCCAATTTGGTGCAGAAATAATTTTATATGTGAAAGTTTTCTATAATTACAGAGATCATAAAAAATAAAAAAACATATTTTTTATTCTAAATTACTTGATATGATATGGTATGATATGATATGATATGATATGATATGATATNNTATGATATGATATGATATGATATGATATGATATTAACCTTATAACATATGTTTAGTGGCGAAAATATGCTTACTGATTTCAGTGTAAAAATATTACCTCACGTATTTCAAGTGCAATCTCAGCAATTTCGAAGATATGCTGACCACCATTTTCACTGGGAACTCCTGATGCCATCATATACGTTTCGCCCGTTGTTTCAACTTTATAAGCATCGTGACGTTTGATTACTTCGTCGAAAATCATGAAGGTTTCATTTAAAAAGGAAATCACCTAAATGATAATATGAAGGATAAAACTTTCCTCTTCTCACCATTCCATCTTATTATTCGAACGAAATGAAATCCGATAACAATTAAACTTATTTTTAAAAACTTTATGGTAATTTTATACATGCAGTTAAACTCTTTTTTTTAGTAATTTACAGCAATGTTATTTGCAAAAAAGTTTATTGGGAATAAAATATGAACATTCTCGAACTTTTTATCACGTTACACTCGAAATTTATCGCTTCTTGTAAATTTTGAAAAATTAGATCAGTAAAATTTTCAAATATTATAAATAATTGGGAAATATAATGAACCTGCTCAGGTGTGCATTGTTCCATCAGATGCATAAAGCCAACGATTTGACAGAAACCAACCGTAGCTGATTTGTAATTTCGTGGAATGATTATTTTCTCTGCTTTTAGCTCCGCTGCTATGGATCTGATACTGTATTTGTCAACAATTCCAAATAATATAATTTAATCTAACATTTTGAGGAACTTTTTTTAGGAGAGAAAAACAAAAAATGATATATAATATGCTTGACGAATAGAACGAACGGTGGTAGCATTTCGCAAAGTAATCGATCAGTTTGTTGTTGTGCTTCTACCAGAAGTGAAGTTCGTTCCGCAACGATATGTTCCAAGTTTTGTGCATATTTCTCATTCATTTTTATCATTTGATCTACCAAGTTACCTTTCCTTAAACAGTCATAAAGAGAGAAACAATCTCAAGTAAGTTACTTGAAAAGTATTTAAAAAGAAAAAATATTTTAAATAATACTCTTCATATTTTCAAATTTTAACAAATGCGAAACATTTTAGTTTATTTATTATGCATATCCGATCTTCACTTTATTCGATATATTTTTGAAGATAAAATTTCATAATAAATCTGCTAAGAATTTACGAGCATGAGAAAATTGATCCAATGATTTCACGAATATTTTGGAGTTTCGGTCGTGCTTCTGGTATTGAATTCCAGCACTGGCACATTAATGGAATTAGCTGCAAAATGTTGATTTTCACATTTTTTCCTCCTCAAAAACTGCGCTTAGTAGCATTTCTGTCTATTAGTAATTGAATAACTAAAATTAAAAGTTTTTTTTTTGAATTTCGAATAGTATTTGAATCAATTGCTAATAAAAAATGCTCGTTTAAAATTGACCGGATCATTATTATCATTATCAATATGTGGCCGTAGCGATTTTTGAATCACATTAGAGAGCACTTCTGCAATTTGAAATCCTTTTATTACAATGATAACATTCATTTTCTTTTTTTATGCAACTGATTTTTGAGATTTTCAAATTTCTTCAATTTGGTATTCAAAATGGTATTCAAAAATTGATATTTCTTGAAACCTTTCAATGAAAACCGATCAAATGGCTTGATTCGAAAAATAATAGAATAAAGCATTATTCCGAAGCTATAGATGTCTCCCATAACGGTTCCTTTTGGAAAATTCCATCCAATTTGAATACCAATTAATAGTTCCGGCGCAACTGTGAGATAAACTTGAAAGAACAACCATGTAATTTCTAATAGTCAAATTTTTCAGACTATTAAGTTTGATTTATTTTGATTTATATGCATTACATTAGCGATGCAAGTTCTTTGTTAAGTTACACAAACTTGCTTAGTTTATGACTTTTACAAATTTACAGAAGAAGACTTTGCAGATGAACTTCCGTTCCGGTAGAAAAGATTTTACAAAAATTTGGTCTTAACAATGCTAAGAAAATTCCTTGTTAAATCACTCCGCTCGTTTCATTAATCTCAAAAAAAAATTACTTACACTGTTGAGGAATCAGTTCTGCAGCGCGTATATAATTCTGATCGATCAATTCATTCAGCATGGTTGAAATTCCGAAATTTGTTAATTTGAGAACCCAATTTGAATCAATCATGCATGTTTTTAGCGATAGCATTCCGTGATATCCAATTGGTGATTTATGTAAGTATTGTAATCCCTAAAGTATAAGTTCACTTCAACTTATTTTAAGAATAGATTGAATGAGAATAATAAATAACTTGTAATAAATAACTAACTAATAAATAGCTTGAACGAGAATAATAAAAAAATAATAAATATCCAATTTAATAGATTCATTTAAATAATTTATTTTAAAATTTTCCGTACTTCCTGATTGTACAATAATTATTATGCATATATTGTCAAAAATTATAACTAATAATACCTTTAATATATCTTTAATAAAGGCACACTTGAAAGTATTATCCACATTAAATTGGTGATCATAGATGAAGTCTTCCAGTGATGCACGTTCGATTAATGTGTGTAACACGTAGAAACGATCAAAATCATTGTAACAAATGCCGATAAAATTGGTTAAATTATTGTGATTCAGTGATTTCAATTCATAAAGAAATTTCAATTGCACCTTATTCCATGGAATTCGCTTATACTGTTTGAAACACATAAATTCAGCTTTTAAAGTACCAACCAATGCGTAGGAATCCAATTGCCGTCGTTTATGACTTAAGTTATCACTCACTGCACGTCCTTTAGACTAAAATACTTAAATTTTAAAATTAAAAGGGAAAAACGAAACATTTCATTGATGCCAATAAAACTTGATAAATGCAAAAAAAATTCTTCCAAATGGAAAATTAAATGACCCGTTTTGTTTCAATAACTTTTAAATTCTCTTTTGAAATTTTCCACATCATTCGATATACTTCCAAATGTTTCCTGAAGAATTGCTACCTTAAATTATATTATCAAAAGAAAATATTGCTTAAATTATCAAAGAAAATATTGCTTAAATTTTTTACCAAATTTTATACAATATATACAATGCTTAAAGTTATGATAAACTACTAGATTTTCAAATTTTTAAACAATATTTGCTGAGAGAATATTATTTATATCTACCTGACGTTTTTTAGATATTCAAACTTCTCACTGTTCTACCAATAAAATCCTATATTTTCTAAGTGAAAACTAATACCAATGAACAGATAACTATTAATCTCATGTATGCTAAATATTTCAGAGTGTAATTTATATTTACTTTCTTCGATATAAGTAAAATCCAATCGAACAGATTACAATGCCGGTGACACCACCGATAGCTGTTATAGTAATAATTGAATAGGAATAATTATTATATTTAATGCATTTTTTAATGTTAACATTTTCGTAAATATTCCAGAAGCTTTCATCTATAATTTCCACTTCCTGCAATAATGAATCATTCCTCTTTTTCTTCTTCCGCACATAATAAGCAATAAAATTAATTGACAAATAATAATTGCAATTATAAAAAATTAAACATATAATTGTTTAATCAAATGGTGAATTAATTGGTATCTTTTTAATAGTATCAATCATTTAATTGTACTAAATTCTAATTGAATCTATTATTTTTTTAGTTGTCGTAATATAGATATGAGAAGTTTAAAATGATAAAAGAAAAAAGTAAGAAATCACCAAATCAAAGCATTTGTTTTCAGGTGTACATTGCGCCTCAATCATCGTTAGTGTCATAACTTCTTGAAATCCATCATTTTCTGAAGGTAACCATTGAAACGCATAATTTTGTAGACGTTTTGCTGCACCATCCAAGGTAACATTTCCAAATGCATCTGCAAGAAAATTGAAAAATTTTTAGTTTTAAATACTATCATAATTTAATTCTTAGTTCGAAAATCTTTCTTAGATCATCTAACTAAATTTTTTTCTAATATTAATTGTTAATCAGTAACGTTGATTACAAGACATGCTTAGATTAGAAAATAACTAAAAAATTAAAAAGAAAAATTGGAGGTAACCGGTGAAATGCTGATTTCTCATAGACTGAGCTAATTGCTTCCCATCCAGAATTGAGTTATGTCCGATGCCAAAACAAAAACCGTAGCATGCATCATACATTGTCACATACATCTCCACTTCGTTCTATAAATAAATATATGAAGTTTTAAGGAATAGTTCATGTACAGTATCGAGTACGTACAGTATCCACACTACTGATACTGTATACATGTGCTATGTATGTATTATCACGGATTACAATATCTCAATTTTAATTATGTATATCGGAGTATGCAAGTGTGTACGATTGAATTAAAGCAGCTTTATCAAGTAATTTTCAATATTCAATATAATAGTACTAGCTTCTCTTAATACGGTAATTACAATAATCATTCTATCATATCCTATTACACTTTTCACTTTCTTTTTAAATTTGGTTCTTTTTTTATAAAACATACATCTTTTACTGTGAAATTGAGCCGTTTGTTGAGTTTATCTTCGATCGATTTATATTGTTCAATTATTGGAGCTAACTAAAAATGTTCAATGATTAATACGTCATTTTGCATATCTCCGAAAAAATAGCTCATACCGATAAGAGTTATGATTAAAATTGGTGAATATCTTGCAAAAAAACAAAAGAAAACATTGCTTTTTTTATAAATTTTATATTATTTATTATCATTGCAATAAGCAACTTACAACAATGATCTTAGCACGAGTAATAATATTTTTTATTCCATTGGTACATATTTCGCTAATTTGATTGCATATCAAAATTATCATATACTGATCATTAGTAAGTGTAATAACATCAAGTTTATGAAAAACCATTCCCAAATTTATGAAATCATTTCCAATAATGATCACTGAAATTGAATGTCACTATTTAACACCTACCATTATGCTTTAAATTTTAGTATTCTTTTTTTCTTTAGGACAAAAACAACCTAAATATGTTGTTCATTCACAGAATGACGAAAATTTGCGAGATGCTGTTACTGTTTAAACTGAACTTTTTCATTATGTGATAGCTTCATTGATGAAAGGCCTAACATCTGGCGCAATTCAATATGATGAGCGCTTATTGAATAAACTGAAAGGTTGCTTCCATTCAAACATTTAAGTCATTTAACAACGAAAACAATCATGAAAGACCCAGAAGATCTCTTATGATTGCTTTTATTGTTAAATGAGCAGCCGGAAAACACTGTCATTTCCGGATAGCCGGAAAATATTGCTATCTATTTGGTGTTTTCTAAATGATTAAGTAAATACCATCCGATATTCCGGTAATGCTAAAGAAAAACAGTTTAAATGCTTACTGCTTGTGGTTGTCCTGAGATTTTCCCCGGTGACTTCATTTTTTGCCAGCATATATTCGTCAATTTCGATAAACTTTTCTATCCGAAATAGACGTTGTTTTCTTGTAATTTGTTCGATTCCGGCAACAATAGAGTAATGGTCAAAGCTACTTCCAGCAGAACTCACCAGAACCACCTGGAAGATTTCCATCCATTTGTTTTATTTCATTTTTTAAACAATGGTTTTCATTATTGCATTATTTAAAGTTGAAATAAAATGCATGAATTTGAATTAAATTGGGTTAAATTAAATTAAATTGAAATGGAACATAAAGAGATGAACTAAATACACTAAATTAAAGTAAATACACAAAAATTAACTCAAAACGAAAAGGTAATAAACAAAAAAGGCGAATTCTATTAAATTAGATTGTCAAACAAATATTAGGATTAAATTAATCGAAAATCAGAATGAGAATTCAAATTTGGGAAATTATTTCTATCTTTATTTGACTTTTATATCTTTATATCTGAGTGATTAATTTGCAGAATTCAAGAAATGAAAAGTAAATAAAATAAATTTTAAAAAAATTAGAATATTATACCGAAGTAATATTGAGGTAATCAATAAGCGATTTTATAGCATATGTGAAATCAACTGGAGATGTAAGACCAAATTGTACAGCGGTAGGATATAAATCCGGATCATTGATGCTGGGATTTGTGACAGTTCGTACCATAACTGGAGAATTCCAGAAACGAGCTAACCCAGCTATTTCCAATATTTCACTTTGACAATTCGAATCAATGAATGCCTTGAAATTGTATTAGGAAGATGATATCTGAGGAAGATTACAGTGATTATAAATGGCAGCAAAAATAATAATAACCTCTATGTGCTCTTGAAAGTGAAAAACGACAGCGTTAGCTGTACCCTTTGCTGGATTATCAGCCGTGCATGTTGCAGCATCTAATATCCTAAAATTATTATTGTTCATTCAAATTTTGTCGAAGAATTTCAATTATTAAATATCAGTTCAGAATGTTCCAAAAACTGCTGTTCAGCAATGTTTTAGAGATAAGCAATGAATGATTAAATGCAATTGACTGATTGATTTTTAGACAGTTGAATTTAATTGAATTCAAATACTGTGGTGATACTTCAATTCCGCATGTCCATTGATTTAAAAATTTTTTTTTCTCAAATTTTTCAATACTAATCAGTGAGAAGTGCAGAAAGTATATTGGCATACTGGATGGTGTTGGCAGTGCATTGTCCATCATCTTCACCATCCTTTAAGGCCATTTCACATATATGCACAAGATTTCGATCGCTTTCCAAAATGCCAAGTTTAATTGCATCACATGACAATGTAAACGTAATAAATAATACCATCACCTCCATTTCCATTTTTGAGATAAAATTCAACTTTTGAGATTTTGTTTCAGTTTAATTTTATTTTTTAATCGTATTGTATCATAACTGACATGATTTATGGGAAAATATTGTAATAGTATATAAAAATGAAACATAGATGCGGGACAAAAGTTAATTTGAGTGAAAGCTAAATTAAATCATCTGCATGAAATTTGCAATCAAATATCCTATCATTTATCTTGGAGGTAACATCAAATAAAATGAAATGATAATAAAATCCGATTTTCAAAAATTTGATAAAATATAATAATTGGATGTTTGAAAATAAATCAAGCTTACCAGCGTTTTTCTTGAAAGTGATGGAATGATTGCAGTAGGGAAACAAAGGTGATACTTTAAAGTCGATCTAAAAAGAAAAAACACACACCTGAAAACATTGCAAGAAATGATGATGTTGCAGCGTGTGATATTTATTGATATTTTAAACATTCAATTATAAAATCGATTCTAACATAAATCACAAAGTTGACTTAATTTACCTTAACGACAAATTTCTCCTTCACTACAATGAATGATGATGAGCCTGGCAACTGACAACAAAAAGGTAAGCAATGAAGTGCAAATCAGAGAAGGCCTATCTTTTTACTAGCTGAAATGACTAACTTTCACAGCATCAAACAGCAACCAATAA